TTTTGAGATGAACAAAAGTGAACAATCTTTTCGAACCTTACAAACATTCAGGGATAGACCGATGCAAAGGGCGTAATCTATCCTCGTGGCCGACCACGTCTTTTTTACGAAAGAAAAGACAATGTTAAAGAAAGGGAAGAGAAAAGAAGAGCGAAAATTAATAATGGAAGAAAAAGAAATGAAAGTTTGGCAGACAACGTCATTACCTCGCGTTATTTCTTGTTACTAGTAACTGGTCAACTGCATGCAGACTACATGCAGATTGAAACAGATTTTGCGCGTCTGTGTAACACGCAAAAAGGTTCAGTTTAWCTGTGGTTCGAAAAAAATGGCACGTCTAAAATGAGGGAAAAAATGTTACGCCCAAGCTTATTTATTTTGCCAGAAACTCTTAAGGAAAGTCTTATTTTCAAAGAAATCACACACGGCCAGAAACGTAAAAAGAAAAGAAAAAAAAACCCCGCAGTAATTCTGCTGTTTGCTTCATAGATGACCAAATAACGATCTCAAGTCTGTGTTTGGCCGACTGTCAGACAAATGAAAATGAAAGCCAAATGGATTTRATTGTAAAGTTTATTGGTGTTAATACATCAAAGCTGTAAACTAAATCATTACGTTTAAAATAAAATTACTCAATAATATTTGATCGTTTTTCGTATAAACCACAATTTAGTAAATCATAGTTTTAAAAAAATTGTTAAAAGTTAATTCGCTCGAATCGTGCTGTTTGGGCCGCCTGTGGTAAGATAGTATTTCCAAATATGGCAGATGCCCATATTTGAAATATCTAAGTTTAATTTATGCACACGCAAGCCCAAATTTCGTTAAAAGCATATGATTGGATGAGAGCAAAATAAGGGGCATTGTGATTGGTCCAATGGATTTCTTAGTCCTTATCTTTACCGTGTCATGTGCTGTGATTCCTCAACTCAGCGATACCCACTCTGTACTACAAGATAATATATAGAATACTAAATAAGCACTAAAAAACTCTAGAAATTTCGCATTCAATCTGATATTTAGCTGAAAAAATATTTTTCACAAACAACAATCACAAAAAAATAAAATAAAATAAAATAAAATTACATTCTAAGAAAGATTTTTTTTCTAAAAATATAATACTGACATAGGTGTGTATATACTCAATTGGCGACTTGCTCTAACAGGTCACGTGACCCTACCTCCCTTAAAACGAGCAGTTGTGAAATGAAAAGAGCAGCTCAACATTAGTGAGAGGGCGAAGTTTTGGTTCATAATGTTGACTAGGAAAGGATAAATATGACGTTTCCAAAAACACCTTTTGGTCTCTGTTTTGAATCCGACAATGATTTGCAATTGAGTGTATATATACTAGCAATAAAATAAAAATTGTTTGGCTTAAAATTTATGATATATATGAGCCCAAAACGTTCAAAGGCTATTATTACACCTCTTTGATAAAGATKCTGTTTCGTTTATCAAGCATAGCTAGAGATTTTGAACTTCTTCATTCTTCCTTTGTTTACTTTTTGAGGTGCCAATGGCTTCTTCTCTTTCGCCTCCTGTTTAAAGAATTAAATGATGTTGATTACGACGATGATGAAGCTAAGATATTAATAGTGATTAGAGCAGTTTTCGTATGACTGTGAAAAGCTCAGTGCCGTAAGCGTGACGTCCCGTGACCGTGTTGCTTTCTAGAATTTTAATTGGCTGATTTTTTTCACGCGCAATGTGATTGGTCTGGCATTGCCGTGATCTTGGCGTGACCGTGTCCGCGCCGTGTTTATGCCRTGTTACGGGTATTTGATTGRATGGAGAGTAAATTCTCKTGCAATGTGATTGGTCTGGCGTATCCCTTGCTGTGTCACGACCGTGTTCGTGCCGTGAATTTTTCACGGTTATACCAAAACTGCACTATATACCTTTTGGCGTAATGTTTTCTCGTTTAATACCACGTGTCATTCCCTAGAGTATACTTTTTCATTTTTAACAGCGGCGAATGAGAAGACATATGAATAGTGRCTTTGCACCATCACGTGATGCCGATTTACATGAGAAAGGATTCAATTTCCCAGGGGAGAAAGACTTGTTGTGCCTCCTGTCATGGCTGCCATCATGTGATGGTGCAAAGCCACTATATGATACAACTCAAACAAAGATTCTTATTCTTAAGAAAATGACACGTGGTAGGAAATGGGAAAACATTACGCCCAAGGTAGATAGGTCGATGATGTTGTGGCAGTTGCTTGTGTTGGTGAACGTAATAATGGTGTAGTGATGATGATAATAATAATTACTATAATACTATTATTACTATATCGGTAGCTCATTGGTTAGAGCATGGCACCGGAATTGCTAGGGCACGGGTTCAAATCCCGTAGAGTTTTTTCTGGGTCTTTCAATTTGCAGCTGCATAAGCTGCTTCATATGATATACTGCGAGGATCAGCTCAATTTGATATATACATTACAACCGCAGTACAAATATATATTCCATATATATTCTCATACGCATAGATAATTACTATATTTATAACGACAGTGATTATGATGAAGATGATGCTGCTGCTAGCTAGAGCATGGATGATAATGTTGATGTTGATGATCGTGGTAGTGATTATAATGATGCTGATAACCATGATGATGAAGTCAGGATACAGGGTACATTTTAAGAACACTTCTCAAATGGGTCAACAGCAAAACATAAATCAGGACATGATGCAGATAGTGGGGATGATAATGCTAATGGTGATGATGGTAGTGATAATGATGATAACTATGATGATGAAGATTATACGATTCACGGTATTTAACAATTATTCGCCGAAGGCGAAGTGATTATCGGGGAATATTTACCGAGACGCGAGTCTTCGAGCGGCGAGGTAAATATTCCCCAATAATCACTGAGCCTGAGGCAAATAATTGTTTTAGTATAAATACACAGGTGATTCTTTCAAAAAAAGGAAAAAAAGAAAATAAGAGGCATTTTTTTCCGGTAACAGCAACAAAGCGGCTGGCCGCCATTTTGGATTTTCGCTCGAGGTGATTATCGTGTGATAGTGTGAGTTTCTTGACCAATMAGCGCGCGAGGTTTTCTATAATCACCTGTGTATTTTTACTAATAYATTTTAATGACAATTSCAAAATGGTCCAATAGCAAAACATCAATTGCGATTTTGATTACAAAAGTTYATGGAAAGTCTAGAGCCACTCTACGCTGACAAAAAGTCAACCAACTGTACATCCTGGCAACATCAAGTTCTTTTTCTAACATACCTGAATAGTCTTGTCGTAGAAAGACATGACAGAGTAAACCTCACAAATACGTGTTGAACTCGGAATGAATTTGTCGATGAGGTCGTGTAAAGCTGATTTAGGTTCGTCTTCCTCGATGGCAAGGCTTTCAGAAAYTCCAGAAATCCCATCCGGAATTGACCAAAGAGACGGATCGCACAAATACTTGACTGCATATTCCTGTGGATCCCAGGTGTTCTGATGCTCTTGATCTGACAACAGATACCGGAAGATGAACCGACGTAGGGTGGTGACGATCACTGACATCTCGCTCTCTCTTTTAGATCTGTAACCCTGCAATGATCGAAGATTTTCAGATACAATGCTGTAATTCTTTGCAATTCATTGGAGTTTTTGTTAATGTATATCAAGTAGGCACATTTGCACTGATGTTGATGGACAGGCCGATCACCCTTCAGTATTGTTAAGTTTAGGAATGTAAACACGCGCGCATGTTTCTGTACTGTAATATTAACGCGTAAAGCACAAGGCTTAGCCGAGTGTGTCTCTTGCTTCTCGAGTGCTCTACAACTCCCAGAGTGTTTATATCACAGTACAGAGACATATGCAGCGTTTTTATATTGCTTTTGTTAAATATTTTTTGAAAGATTTCGAATATTTTATAAATACATGATACATGTCAACTTGCACCATGGCATTAAGGGACCTTACTCTGAGGTCTACTTGTACCATGGTATTGATTGGCCTTACATTGAGGCCCTCTTGTACCATATGCACCATAGTATTGATAAACCTTACTCTGAGGTCTACTTGTACCATGGTGTTGATGGGCCTTAAATTGAGGTCCACTTGTACCATGGTATTGATGGGCCTTACTCTGAGGCCCACTTGCACCACAGCTTCAAAGGTTTAATATTTATTACCTTGAGTTCTTGAAGTGCTTTTGTAGATATATGGGTACGGTACTTGTCGTGAACAGCTTCAATGGCAACATCAGCAAGTAATTCTTCCAACCTCTGATACATATTCACTACATGACAGACTTTAACATCCTTCAAAGTAGCTCCAAATAGCTCCTTTTTTAGGAGGTTAGAACCTTGCAGCTTTCTGAAAGAAGAGCAAATGGTGTTTATTCAGTTAGCCGGAGTCGCCCAAATGTGACTAGATAACTAAAATWTAATGAATACTAACAGTACTGTTACGAGCTCGATCATGCTTTGCACCGTACTTTATTTTGCAATTTGCTCTGAATCGACATTTCTATCAATTTTTCGCGTTTACTTTCAAATTGAAATCAACATACCATAATTGACAGAAAATAAGATTAAAATAAACTACACAAAATCTTACYTTGCTACATAGTCTTCCAAAGCCATTTCCGCCAGTTTTGAGTCGAAGTAAGAAGCCTTGCTTAGGAAATACAAGATTACTTCTAACTCTTCAAGAAGAGTCCTGGCATTCTTTAATTCTTCCTCCTTCAATGCACTCAAACGATTCTGCTGGTCAGTAGTGAGGGGTTCCTGTGGCAGTCGTTCGGTAATGTCGTTAAGAACGTTTGCGCATGTGTGGAAGAGTTCGTTGCTGTAAGGGAATTGCCTGAGACCACCATCAGTACTCAGATAAACCTGAATAAACGAGATTAAGGTTATTAAATAGTCCCCTTCACAGTTCCCTGCGCCATCTTGAAAGGTAGCCGTGCCATTGCACGAACGGTGAGCTTGACCTTTTTTAACGCCTTGRACAATTATTCACATGTTTCTATCATTGCAAGCTCACCGTTCGTCTCGCTTCGATGCAAATGCATGGCTATCTTTCAAGATGGCGCAGGGAACTGTGAAGGGGACTATTGAATTTCTAGAAAGATTACATATGAAACCTTTGAAAGAAAAGACGTGTGTACTGAACGTAAATGGCTTGAGTCGCGAGGGCGAGGGCGCTATTTCTTCAGAAATGCGATCGGGATTGATTCCCACACTCATATGTGAGTAGAGTTGCTGTCGGTTTTCTCTTGTACACTGGGGATTCTTCATGCTTTCATTAAAGACTGAGTTTCTATAACAAGATCTCTATTAGTCGCTATTCTGCAAGTGTCCATTATMCCATTTCCCTATAAAGTTGATTTTAGCATTTCAATGTATTTACTTATTTTTTTCTCTCCCATTCCATTCCATTTTCCTTTTATTCCTAATTAAAAAGTTCAAAGAGAAAACAAACCTTTCCAGTCAAAAACCGTTCAGCCAATTCACTTTCTATCTTGCCAAAGTCATAGTGGATCTCGTGCCCCTTTCCATATTCAGTGTCATGATAGGAATGCTGCAGGAGGATTTTATCATCCCATTCGAAGCAAATCACTTCACTTTTCTTCACATCTTGAACGTGGACAATTGGCAAACTGCTTGAAGATCCAGATGAATCAGACTTTTTTAGAAAGTCCAAAGCAGGACACGATCCTTCAAGTGCTAGCTTTAGAACTTTGCCTGTTGAATGAACAAATATGAAGAATATTCAACCTAGTTAGACAGCTTTCTTGTACCAAGGGGTTCTAGAGGTATTCCAAAAATATTTTTGTGTACAGAAAACATCAACAACAAGGCTGGCGAATGAGTCCTGGATTGTCTGGTAATTAATTCAACTCAGACTTATGTTGTCGTGATGTAATGTGCCTTGGTTTGTTGGATTGTCCAATAAACCCTTTGCGCTAATTGCTGGGTTTCAAGCAGCTGATAAAAGTCTTTGAATCTTGTTATCTTCTCCAAATGGTGGTCAAACACTGACCACCATGTGCTGTCACCCGGAGATAATTCTATTGAAAACTTGTGATTCAGCTGATGAACATTCCCCACGAGAAAGGGAAACGACGTGTGGAGGGAAATGAAGTAAAACCCAGCAATYCTCAATGTGGTGGTCAAACCAAAAGAACTCACATCTCGATAGAATTTAGTTTTATATGCTAAATTTTCAATCGTTTTGACCCCCGTGTAGAGCTTATAAACATGCCAAATACGTGACTAATACCATTGGAATGCATTAAAGATAGCTTTTAAAGMATACCTTGAAATTCATTCTGAATTCTTTGAAGTGCAAGAACTGCTTCGTAAAGATACTTCCCATTGGAATCTTGATCCATAACAAAATACGATACTGAAGTAGCCTTGGTTATTTTTGGGGTGGCACCAACTTYTTTTTCAACAACACTTCTTACAGTTTCCCAAGATGTTATAAACTGCTCCATGGCTTTTTTCAGATCCTTGTGAACAAGTGTTCCCACYACATCTCCTACTGCTTGGACGGCGGCGTCTTTACGACGAAGTCGTCTTCCAAATTGGTTTTCAAGCATGTTGGAGAACTCCATCAAGGGGTAAAGGTGTCCAACTTTTGGCAGAATCTTCATGTATTTCAGAAAAAGACCTAGGAGAGGATGATCCGTTTTTACAGCATCGGAAGCGTTGTAATAGGTCACCCTCAGATCATCCAAGGACTTCTGTTTGGTAAAACGAAAGAGGCGTGGAAGCCATGAATTTCGCATTTGAGCATCAAAATCTTCAGTGGAGTCCTTTTCGTCAATCAGGGATTCCAGTGACGTAGGATCCATCGTGCATTCATTTTTAGGATCTTGTTTTCGAGTTTGGAAAAACCGGTTCACTTTTTCATTAAAAGCTATTTGCAGTTCTTCTCGTTGTTCCTTGCTTAGACACGGACGGCCAACTCGCTTTGTGATCAATCTTGTGGTGTCGTTAATCAGTTGGTGTACAGTAGTGATCACTTGCTCTTCGTTGCATCCCCACAATCGCTCAAGTACTTTCAAATCGGTGTTCATTTCTTCAAGGCATTTCTCTACGGGATTGTCCTTTTCTTCGTCAAGAGTGAAAAACTGAGAGAGCTTTCTCGAGGTGAGGGTCCCAAGAGAGAATCCAGAGTAAAGTGTGGCGACGACCAACAAGTGAAGAAATCTGTAGCTTGATGGAGTCATGTTTAATACGCTGAAGTCATCTTCTGCAATCCTTGAAATGCATAATGAGATTGCTGTTGTTGTTGCCTGTTTTTCTTGCCATTTTTCGTCTTTAGATGAGAGAGCACAAGGCTTCAGGCAATGCGGACAGGTTGTTTGATCTTTCCCCCTGAGAAATGCCGTTCCACATGGGCAAGTCAAAACATACCAGCTTTCGGTCGGCCTCTGATTGGATTTGTCTGGGTTGGCTAACAAGCATCCTTCCGAAGCTTTGTTTGGATCAATGAGATAGGACAAGAATGGGCGGTCAACAGTGGAGCTGCCGGTGCATTCAGCTGTTAAGATACGAAGCAAATGGAGGACTATGGTTGACTTTCTAACAGCACTCAAAGACATCTCTGGCGAAATCCTTAGCGCTTTGCCTTTGAAATCTTCTTTGCCTGTTAGACAGAGAATTAGCTTCATAAATTGAGGAGACAAACCCGACGGCAGGACCTCAATAATTGAATCTACTGTCTTGTCCATGGTGTCGGTCTGACTTTGTAACGATTGTGACAAAAACAGTTTCTCTGTCAGGGCACCAGCAAAGGYTTTTCGTTTTTTTGCATCGCCATCAAGCTCACGGCACATGTGCTCCATAGGACTTACATCTYCTAAATACTTTAACTTGATAAGCGCATGGTTAAATTCTAGCGTGGTCAGGTGGACGTCTTCCAGGTAAGTGATCGGATATGTGCTAATCTCATCACTCCATGTCAGAGACTGCAACGCAGGTAACATGGAAGCTTCTTCACAGAGTTTTCTTAGCTCTTGTAAGGACAAATTCTTTTTAAGCTCTCTTAGAAAATAAAGCATGCATGATGCTCTTCTGGGACTCTTGGCGGWCCTGCCCTCAGGAGCTTCAAGAAACTTTGACAGGAACTTGAAGAAATGTGAATACTCGGAGTCCCTTTTGAGCAGGAATGGCTTACGGTAAATAAGGTCAGCAATTGATGACAGCGAATTTCTGATGTACGACACTGCAGTAAGTAGCGCTAAGCTGTTTTGTGACCTTCTGGGATGTTCCACAGTATCCAAGGCAGCTTTAAGACAAGTCATTGTAAGGCTGCTTGAGGAAGTTACTTCAGATGCTTCGAACAAATCAAGATCTTGGCATGTTATGTGGTCAATCACGTCTAAAACGATGACAGCAAAATRGCAATCGTGTATTCCTTCGTTGTTCTTGACAATGCGATTCAAGATCGTCTCCGTTTCTTTGAAGAATGAGTAGTGAGCACTGACTTCTTCTGAGTCCTTCAAAATAGCCAAGAATGGATTTTCCTCTTGGAACTGACTTGCATAGAAAATGATGCGAGAGACTATTGGACTTCCAAGCTCAAGACTTTCTTTTTCTGAAAATGAGCTGACTGCATTCAGGATACTTTGATAGACTTCTTCTGTCTCACAGCTGTCAAGACACCTACTCAAGAAGTTTATTCTAAACTCATTAGTCATTCTTGTTGTTCTCCCAATGCTCTCTATGGCGTCCAGAACTTTGTCAAATGAGTTGTGCAGATCTTCACCTTGACACAGCTCTCCAAGCAAGTAAAGTGAATACGGGTTTGAAAATTTGTTTGGTGAGAGAATCATGTTTCCATAGTCACAGCAAACTCTGAGGTTACTATATAGCCTAGTATTTCCAAAGCTGGACTTGGCTGTATGTGCTACAAACGAATTAGCTGTTGTTAACCATTCCTGCGGACTACCAAGCTGTTGGATGAGTTCTTGAGTAGGTACTAAAGCTTCACAAAAGATATCGAACATCATCCGGAGAAAAGGTTTTCTCAGTTTAAAATCTGCAATTTCTTTCTGACCAATGGCTTTATCTTCATCGTCCTCGTCTTCATCATCGTCCTCGTCGTCATCATCGTCCTCGTCGTCATCATCGTCCTCGTCGTCATCATCGTCCTCGTCATCGTCAGAATCATCGTCCTCGTCATCGTCAGAATCATCGTCAGAATCATCGTCAGAATCATCGTCAGAATCATCATCGTCCTCGTCACTGTCTTCCTCCTCCTCTCTCAGACCCTCGTCATCATTATAATCCTTCTCTCCACTCCTTTCTTCACTGCCACCAATGCCTTTCTTTTTCTTCATCATTAAGACACATCTTTCGAAAACATCAATGTAAGATGAGGAAAGCTTCTCAAGATCGTTGCCAGGAACAGAAATTAGTGAATAAAGCTGCTGAACAGCTAAGAAGTCCGCCTCGTACCTCCACAAAAAGAAATGAATTCGAGCCAGGAAAATGGACAAATTCTGAACAGGTGTATTAACCAGGTGTTGCGCACATRCAGCCTTTAGGATATCCACTCTCTGATCACGTGTCAATGCTGAAGAATGCTGAGAAGACATGAAATCGAATATGTCTTCAATATACAGACTAAAGCCGCTGTCTGGCCAGTCGTAGCGAAATAATTGGGGAACAGCTTCTTTAATTTCAAGAGCGAGCTCCTGAAAGAATTCTTCTTTTTCACCTTCATTGTTGGTTGTAAACTCTCTCCATTTTTTGAGGTACTTCTCTTTCAGGCTGCCAATCTTTTCGCAAAATATGATTGAAAATGGAAACTCGAGCAAGCATTCTGCTTTAGTCAAAACATAGCAACCTGATTCTTGAGGGTCTGGTAYTTCATCAATGTTGAAGAGGTTTTCGTCTCTGATTAGCCCAGCCATAAAGACCTCATTCTCCGTTCTGTTCCCTGACTCCGTAAGGGCACGATGGCAGCTTTTAAAAGTAAGGCGATTCGCAATGAGATATATTGCCTAGGAATAAAAGAAACAAATGATGCTTTTTTTTTTTGCTACTAAAAAAGAAAACATCTTTTCGTTTGGTCAGAAAAATTGGGAAGCACGGATGGTGCAGTGGTGAGAGCGCTTGCCTCTCAGCAGGGCGACTGGGGTTCGATTTYCGGGTTCATTGTCAAGTGAATAAAGTTGCTTGCTGGAACTCTCCTGYCCTTCGTCATTTTTCCTCAAGGTTATCTCATTTTCCTCCCTTCGAAAAATGAACTACTAAACTCCAATGGACATCTTTAGCTTCGTATGCAAATTGCCCATTTCAGATCACATGACKTTCCCTTGAGAATTGTTCTTTTATGACGGGCATTGTAAAATATTTACTTACGAGAGAATCAACTCCCAAGAGTGTCATCACATGGACTGAAATGTGCACAACAAACAACGAAGCTAAAGAGGTCTATTCAATCATGGAATGAGAGCCACAGGTTTGTTACGAACTGGCAATAAGTATACCCCTACGAAACAAGCGCTATATTATTTATAACCCTTTCTTTGTTTAGTTGATTCCTTTGAAAATATATTTACCTTAGCAAGAGGTCGACGCACAAGATCATCAACGTAGCGTCGTATTGCGCCAGATAGTGTCAGCGATCCAAATAATGCCATTTTGTCACATGACACATTTATCTGCCAATCACAAGCACGCAGCTTTGAAGACCAAAATTCTGCYCCTTCTACTTCGTCATGATGCTTTTTGATCCACTGTAGCACAATGTCATGGAGATATGTCATCATCGCTTCAGATAACCGCAAATTAGACACTTCGTCATTGACTCTTTCTGGATCTGACAGGCTTTGCGGGTACTTGAGTCTTGTGAAGCACCACAATAGCTTGTTTTCAATGATGGCTTTCAAGGAAAGTGTCTCATTCTCGAACAGTTTAAAGACGCTATCTCCAAGGAGAATGTCAATAGGAACCTCTGGCACTTCGAGGGAGTCCAACGTTGCCTGCTTCCATCCTTGCATAAAGCTGAACTGCCACTGTCGAGAATTCAAAGTTTCTCTTCCTCTTTCCAGATGAACGATGATACAGATGCTCTTAATAGGAACCTTGTATTCTTCCGCGCAAGACTTGAGGTACCTTTCATGATGCTGCTCGATAGTCGATTTCATGAGCGTCATGTGCTCTCCATCTAAATTTGGTTTACACTGAAAGACGAGGAGCTCTTTCTCAGAACTTGACCAGAACATCTGAATCCGCTTCGAAAGGTGCTTTTCAGACTTGAACGTTCCAAGTTTCTCCACCTGACAAGACAGAGACCCTTTAAGGCACGCTGATACGTCAGTGTGAATACTTGAGTGGGTCATAACGAAGTATTTGAAGCTCATGTTTGGATGGTCCAACATGCTCTTTACTGGATGCATCTCTGTAGAAGCGCTGCCCACGGACTCAATGAAGCCCTTTAGACCTCCGTGAAGGGGTTTTTTGAAAAAGCTTTCGTACAGAGACTTCACATCCAGGGCATCGTCCTTGTACAACTTTGATCGCAAGCATCGAAGAACACCATCTGGTGTAGCGATAGACATAAGATCATCTTTACACATTTCGAACAAGCCATGATCACTTTTTGGGGAGTTCTCRTCCCTTTGAAGAAGGACCAAGGAAGCAAGAGTGTCATCGTGTAATCCAAGAAAAACATCTCTTTCATTGAAGTCTGCGTTCTCAATGCTGCAAAAGTCTTTAGTCCAGCATCGTAGCTTATCGATTACATTTTGTTCGTTCTCGCTTAAGACGTCCGAGTAACGGAGAAGCTGTTTCTCGAAGCGGTTTAAGAAGGGAGGATCTGCTTTGTTAACTTTATCTTCATCAACCAGTACAATACAGCGGAATCCATCATGAACCTAAAATGTGCACGTACAAAGTAAAGAACTCTTACGATATCATGTCAAGGTGTAGACTAATTTTCCATGGTATTAATATATGAAATTTTTCAGTCAAAGTAAGAGAACACGAAAAAATTYGATTCCCTGATGGGATTTTAACCCATGGACTTCCTTCTTATAATATTCCCAACAACAATTTTTTTAATGTAATTACAGTGCAACTACTGTAAGCAGCTCCAMTTAGATAAGAAAACCAATTAAAAAGTAGAAAGAAAACAATGCATTGTTTCCAACTTTGGGTCGTCGAGCCAATCAGAAACCTAGAATGCACAACAATTGTAATTTGACAATGATGTTATATGTAAACAACTAGATAGCCATCGTCGTTTTCTCGTGGGAATAAGAATATATGTTGAAAGGCAATCGTTTCCTTCTGCTTTCTGATTGGGTCCACTAACCAATGTTGGATTGTATTGTCTTTTTCATGCAATTTGATTGTTTCTTGCTATTTTGGTGGCTCCGTCACTGTAAAAGTAAAAATAACAAACCTGGCACATAGGGTTACTGTATGGTCCAAGAGCAACACGACAATTCTTCTT